TCAAAGTAGATAACTACCACTGACTGCTGTTCCTTGCAAAGAGAAATGATTAGATTACGAAATGCCAAGTGGCGCGTTTCGCAGGATTGTTCGGGTAAAAATCAATGCTGCCTAGAGCTCAGAAGCCGATTAGCTAGACAGAAGTCAAAAATTTCATTGAAAATTATCCTTTCAAGGAACTTTGTTAGATACGGTGTTTTGTGCACGCCCCGGTAGTTATGAACATAGGACCGAGATCCTGACTTGAAGAAGGGAATGATAATTGACGTTTTTCATGTTTCAGGAAAGAATCCTTTTGAAATATAAACCGAGAATAAATGACTAAACAATATGGGAAGGTCCGATACTTGTTTAATAATCGAATTTGGAATCCCGTCCGTTCCTGAGCAGTCTTTATATTTCAAACGACTTATATGTTTCTTAATGAGATCTGAGGAGACATCGATTGTACTCAGTGTCCTATCTGAAAGGGAGCGAAAGACAGGGACTGGTTCGGACTCAGTATTAAGGTGTTTTGCAAAGAAAGAACTAAACAACTCCGCCTTGTCAGTGTCATCGATGAGGAAGACTTTGTTTTCATTTAGCAGGGGTGGAAGTTCGTAACCACGCTTAGAGGAGAACCGATGACGGAAGATGTTAATGACGGATTTGCCAGGGTTCGATTCACTGAGGGCAAGTGATTCTCTTTGCTTGTCACACGCTTGGCACATCCTTGAGGCCATTTCAAAAACGTCTGTGATTTTAAGATGACCTGAGATGGAACTAGTGAATAGGTCACGCAGCTGCCGTCTCAGTTATTTTTAGTCTGTTCTGAAGAAAAGGAGAAACAAGGGAATCTGAAGAATAAGACTTGAGATAGCTACGCGGCACAAACTGTACGATTACTTTGGAAAAAGGTGATATCATACTAACAGCATAGGTACTAGACAATAGCCCATACATGCGTGTTTCGCCGATGTTTTTGCCGCTTCATGGCGCCTCTGCGATGGGTTCGGCTCGTCAGTGGGTCCCCATTGCATGCTTATAGCGTCGTTCTAAGTTAAAAACACCCCAAACAAAGACTGAGTATGCCCGTGCTCCTCATTTGTCTACAGTTCGACCGTGGTGACCGGGTATGTCCGCCGTGTGCTTTACGGCAGGTCAAGAGCAGTGTGAGTGACTTGTACATGCGTTTGTACAAAGTGGCAGAAGACTAGCACTGCATCTACCACACTCCGTTTTCCATCCGGATTCGGTTTCGAAACAGAGTTTATGAGATTGGAAACGGGAGAGGGCGCAGGTGACTGACTGGGCGAAAACACGCACCTAAGCGCGCCGCCACACTCCCTGGTCCCTAACGCGCACTGTCCAGATTTTATACTAAGACAGAAATAGGTGGCGGCATGGACAGCAACTGACGCTGCGTGAACCGGCAACTGGTCGTTTCACCACAACACAATTTTCACATTTGTTGCGGTTGCGCATCCCAGAAAACGCGTGCCGGACTCAAATCTACCCTCTGTGTTCGTCAAGCACATTCATCGCGTGGCCCATTTTAAGGGGCGCCTCATCATTTATTATTATGTGGCATAGTGCAAACCCCTGTCCATTTGTCCGACAGGTGGCGTCTACCTGCATGACATCCGGATACATGTCGTATGTCACTCACAGACTCGGCGTCGTAAAGCAGACAACTCGCATTTTGTCACCCTGTATATGTGAATCCGGCCGCAGCCATCATTTACGGTAGACGGGGCGCTATTCATTCCTCTGACTGTAAAATCACACTGAAAGTGCTTGTGACGCATATTTTCTAGGTCCTTGCGTTTATTATTCAGACAGTAGCAACCCGTGACTGTATTTAAGTAAGCCTGATTTACTTTTTAGACACACCTATAAAAGTCCCGTTGACGTCACATCTGCTGGATCATCTCCAGCAAACTTCCATCTTGGTCATCAACCAGTCATCAGAACCCGGTGTATTCGAACACCATTTTCAAACTGGGAATGTGTTGATAGAGCAAATTAAGCGCTTTCGTACGAATTTCACCTCCGTTCTTTGTCTGAAGGATTGTCAGAAAAATAAGTGAACCGATAACCGGGAGTAGACAAATCTCTCATTCGATTTCTTTATGTCTGTGTATAGCGAGCAGCTGCCTTTTTATGAGGAAGTACACCAGCTCCATATGGAGGTACAATTAGCACGGTAAAGTCCACAAGAGACACAGTGAGGAAAACCCTGGGACATCTACAGTCCACACAATCACCCGGCCAGGAGGACATATCCGTAAAGGTCCTAGACGAATTACAAGACCAGGTCACCTATTCGCTCGCCAAGATCTCCAAAAGTTCGGTAGAGGCAGGCATTTGCCTACTGACTGGAATTTAGCTAAGGCAAGTCCCGTTTGTAAAAGGGGAAGATGGAACCTCTCCAAATTGCTTCAGACCAGTGAATCTCACAAACATTTGTTACAAACGTTTGGAGAGCATGATAAAATCAGAGCCGATGAGGCATATTACGGAGTTTGTATAGTGTACATCGAAGTGGATGTAGAAAAGGCTGATCCTGTCTCACCAACCCGCTCATATCACTGTAAAGCTGGGCAGTCTTTAGAAATGTGTCTGCATTGACTACAGCGTAGGATTTGACAAGGCGGCCAATATCTAAACTGCGTCAGATGCGCGTGACTGGCAACCCCCTCAAATAGTTCGTTGGCTTTCGCACAGGTAGACGTCCACATGTTTTTATTGGTGACGCCAGATCGAAGTGGGAGCCCTTCAGAGTATGATTCCGCAGGAAAGTGTTCTGGGAACCATTTTCTTTCTAATATGTGTGAACGACTGCCTTGATTGCTTGACCAGCGAAAGGGTAATGTTCGATAATTACACGAAAATATCGACTTCCGTAGAAAGGCTAGAAGATGCGTCAGGCCTGCGAAGCAACTTGAGTTGATTGCAAAAGTGGCGTGATTAGTGGCCCCTTAACCTCGAGTTCAAAAAATACCAAGTTGTACAACCATGGTTTGGTCACAAAGGGATGATGATATGTGTATATAATTATTCCATTGGTGATTACCAACTCGAGCCGGTAAAATCGGAGGAAGTCGGGTGTGTGTGTGGGTGAGATCCAACTCTCAAGCCTTTGTCTCGCTGCAACAAAGTAGCAAAGAGGATTATTTGCACCCTCAGGGCGATTAGGTCTTTCCACAATTCTGACAAAGAGCTTTTTGGTCGAGTGTTCGGAATATTTACCTGGGCGATGTTAAAACATTTCGTTCAGGCGTGGTACCCCTGGATGAATCAAGGCATCACGCTTTTCGAGAACATCCAGCGAGCGACAACCGAACTAGTCAGTTGACTGAACTGATTATCTCATAAAGGACGATCAGGAAGGTTCGAAGATTTTACTCCTTTCTGTAGACAATACAGAAAGGATATGACCACGGTCTTAAAACTTGCCAGAGGAGCCATTAGGCACTTCTGTTGGCGATTGTTAAATAGCGGGAAAGACAAATCTCTGGAGTTAGCGATACGATTGAAGACAGGGTAAGCCAAACATAAAGTACGGGCCATCTTCTCCTACCGGATGATTGAAGAATAGAAACAGCCGCCATATTCGACTGTTCTGGCTGAAGGCGTCCATAAATTCAAAAAGGACTTGGTAGCATTTTACCTGATGCCCACCTAATTACTTGACAAGGACTGATATAATATACCCATGTAACTATACAAACTTGCGCAATTTTCCGACTTTTGTCGGTAAATATCTTTTCAAAGACGGTCTCTCTCCATTATTTGTACTGAATTATACGGAATACAATTATATTCTCGTGAAATAGGCTCTCCAAATAATCTTAAGCGACATGCACCGTTTGAAGATGGGCATCAATCGCTTATGTCGACGTTTTTCTCGAATTGTAACGTCCTGCGGATTTGGGTGTTCGGTAGACGTGGAGTCACGGGGGTTAGGGTATAACTTCGGTTTCTTTGCTGCCGGGTTCCACCCTTGTTAACTTGCTCCTAAAGGATTCATCAGTTCAGGCAATCCGAAGCAGAGACGCAGTACAGCCTGTAGGTCTGCATAGAATGATGTGTAGTGTGAACAACAACTAAACGACAAAGAAACATTATATACAGGAAATACTTAACTCTAATTGAGTGACTTTGTGTTTCTTACAAAAATATAACAGGGAAGGATAACTGAAAAACAGCAAAGGTAAGTATTTGTAGAGACTCTCGAAAAATGAATTCCTCTTCAGTATCAGTTGTTGTAACGTGGAGAAAGCTCTCCGGAAACAGCAGAAAGGCCCGAGGCGAAGTCGGTTCGTAGAGTTCGCTGCTCAGAGATATTCCTGTCTGGCGTGACGCGGCCGGGGAGCAAAAACCAGTTGTGATAATGGACTAAAATAGACTGAAACACATGAGCATAATCCATGAATCAATACTACCAGGCAGCATGAGGACACTAACCACGCGTTATCGCGAGCCGAGATTGGTTGTTTTGTGTATTTTAGCACACTCAAACAACATTAAAAGAACTTTTAAGTAAAGAGGAAAACTGGAAGAAAAATCAACAACGCACATAGGCCTTCTAATGTAACCAATATTATGAGCATGCTTTCCAGCTAAGGTTAGTACGCCACACGTGTTTGCGACTGTCAAATACTTCACAGTTGGCTAAAAAGCATAATTGACACTTCTAATTTGATGATAAACGGGAGTTTTTGCTCATAAATAAATAGCCAGAACGTCTCAGACACTGGCTAGTCTGCCACCGTTTGCGTCAGCACCGTTTTTAGCTAGGACTATTCTAAGAACCCGCACTAGGATAAAGACCCAATCAACTAACAGCGTCAATCGCTGGTATGAAACGCTACGAGGCCGGACAACCCTATAAAAATCCTCCTGCGGTCGGGCCAGACTTTCCATCGCGCGAGGAGCTGCTTTGGGCGTTGTATCCTTCAAATCTCCAAATCTAAGCTGTTCTGATTTCGGCAACTGAATCCCAAACTTCCTATTGCATGGGGAAGTCCTCTCGTGATAAACGTGACATCTTTTACCGATTGGCTAAGGAGGAAGGTTGGAGAGCTAGAAGTGCGTACAAGTTAATTCACATCGACAATGAATTCAATATTCTCGGGAAAAGCCGTAAGTCCGTCCCCAGCTCCTCTCTCGCAGATTTTCCAATTTTGCATGCCTATTTCCAGATTTTTTACCGCACAAACTCCAAAACTAGGCAATTTCTTCTCTCTAGACTAAATGGCAGCCTAATTAGGCTGATTCAGTCACTGTGACGTCGCTGGGCATATCCAAGAATTTCCCCATATGTTCCATAGACCGATGACTTTGATGATGACCACTGGCTACCGCCTTCTCCGTCGGCTCGGGTCGTGAAACAGGGCCAGATTTCTCTGCTCAGCGTCTCTTTCCCACTGAACTGTCGAATTTTGGCGACATCAAGGCGTTTTACATGTGGCGTTTTGGATTTAGAGGAGAGATGAGCTTTCAAGCGTGTAAGAATGAGAACATGATCCGACCCATGGACGTTACCAATTTCGGCACCACGCATCGATCTACTATCGTGAACCTACTAGACTGTGGCCGATCTGGCTGGCCGTTTGGCCGTAATTTGAAAACTATATCAGTATATGTTTGTGGCGATGCTGGAAGCACGTGCTGGTGCCAGTCAGGTATGATTAATAGATGGCTAGAGAATGCTGAATTTTGCTGATCAGAACAGCGCTCTCGACGAAGTAAGAATCTTCAATGCACTGGAAGTGGCTCTCTATAACATCGAAGCGGCCTGCCAGTGTACGCTGGAAAACCTAGCCTGTCACGTTGTCCTTATTTCACAGAAAATTAGCACAATGTCTTCGGTTTAATCGGTGCAGACCTTTGAAGGTATATATGCCGCGTCTTAATGTCCCGGACGCCACAAATGTCGATGTGTGCCGGGCATCCGTGTGGTCAGCCCTCTGTTGTTCTTAATTCTGGTCGATGCACACGTAGGGCGAGCTTTCTCCCGACTGTTTGGCCACGGTGGCCTACGAGCCATTCCTCAGGCGGAGTTTGCCGATGTCGTATCCAATCAGTTTGCTGCCCCCAGTGAAGACGGCACAAGAATTTCTCAGGACACCGACAAGTGATGCCAGTAGTGATTTGGGCACGTTCTTCTTTGCCCATGTTTCCCTGTCTAGTTGGAGACGGCGAAGAGTTCAGATGGGAGCAGGGGATAGCAGTCATCAAGAACGATATCATTCCAGTTCGACCACATCATGTGGCCAGGGCGTCAATGTTCACAGACTTCAGCATGAATCCCGCCTTCGTTGGGCGCCTTTTTACTGCACGTTGTCAATGGGCGATCTGTCTGGACAGACAGCTGTTGAACTCACTGCGATGTTGCCAGGTAAATTCAGGAATTCTCTTCACTGTGTCTGTGACTGGAAACTTAACTTAAAACCATTTGCCGTCACTTTCTCCGTCAATGTAGGTTTTCTGTATTCAGGGCATTCACCATGTTAGGCTATCTTGATTTTACGACGAGGTACTTTGGGCGCTGACAAGCAGTGGGCCTTCAAACGATTGCCCGCGAGAATAGGATCTAAGTCGTAGGCATTCCTATTTTAGACATCACGTATGTATCCTCTCTAATGCACCCACCTATGGAACCCCGGATCTATTGAGACCTACTTGGTCCGGCTGGAACCACGACCACCGTTGTGATGCCAAGCCAGTTCTGGACAACTGGACTTATTGGGAATCAAGCCCAAAGCAGTTCATTAGTTGATTAGTCATCTGGCCCAATTCGGTCATTCAAGTTACCTACAGCAATCAACGGATCACGGTAAGGATGTCTGGTAACCAGCTATTGCGGATGCGAACAGAGTGCCAGCATCTAATATCAGAGCATAGACGAAAATAAGGGAGATGTTAGTAAAGTGTCCTTTCATTTACATATACGATAACAGGTTATTAACTGATCGGTACACAAGCAGTGCTTGATCTGCCCCGCTCCTAGAAGACGATCGCTAGATCATGTCTGCAACGGAGATCACCAGGGCGTCTGTGATTGTATCGAACGGCTGTGGTTTGAGTCCTATTCAGTGGCAGGCAGCATTTGTCATGTCTCACCACTAAGGCCGTATCCTGCTTATAAGAACCCGCGGCGTTCCAAGATCTAGGTACAAACGAAAACTCCTGTATAGAAGACAAGAATGAGAGCATTCTAGCTCCTTCGCCCGAGACCTGACCGTCCTAGTGACCAACGGCAAACATTGGTGTCGCGTAGGGCGTTGCAGTCCCACTTCTCATGCTGCCCCGCGAACACGGACCCCAGAAGATCAGGTATGCACTCTACAAGAAGACTTGTCGCCAGTCACTGTTTCACGTCCAGGTGTTGCATGCATCGGCAGTCACGAAGTAAGTTTGTCGCGCACGCCCGCATGTATTCTAGGAAAAGTAGTTGGATGGACAGGATGCCTTGAACGAAATGCTACTTCGCTGCCCCTTCACTAACAGAGCACCAAAGCCCACATTCTGACAAAACAATCGTCATGTGCGCTATTGTTCATGATACTTGGTACTTTGAAATTGGCTTGCTGGAATTTTTGGATTCCATCACCTATGTACGTCGAGTCTTTTGCAGTCCGGATTTAGTACTTCCAAACGCAGTTATGCTGTTTTTTTTAACGTTTTGTAGATAATGGTGAGCCGGTTACGCGAGTTGTCGACCTCTGTGCAGCACCGGGCAGCTGGTCTCAGGTTCTTTCTAAAAGATTATGGGAACCACTCTCTGAGGAGGAGCGAAAGAAGGTTCGTTGCCGCAGCTAGTGTCTGTTATAGCCTTCTTGTAACACAAGAGTTTTTACTCTATCTTCTTTGAACCCGTTAATTTGGCGGTCTTGGAATCCTTTAGGTGATTCTGTTAAGCTAACGAGACACCAGAGCGCAACTCATACTTTTTGCTTTAATTCTTCACCCTCCTATGTGCTGCTGCCTTCTGGAACCGACTCGAACTTCCGGTATTTGCATTCACCTTAACTGCTTTGTCTGCACCCACTCAGAAGCGTCTTCTTCTGCGGATGACTGCAGATCCATTATCACACCTTTATAATGCGATGGTTCTTCACACGGACTCGTTTACTTGGTGGTGATATACACGGGAATGACCACTTTTGTGGGACTGAATTGCCCTTTCATTCCAGCCGGGCGTGGTTATACGAGGAAAGCGAGTGATCAGATGATGATGCTCAGTGGAGAGAGGAAAATCCTGTTTAGGACCTCTACAACGTCACAGGCGGCTGCTGTAGCGTTCCTCCATCATCCGCTATCACTATCGATTCCCCTCAACATTGTGCGGTAGGCAGGTGGACAGTTTGCGAGACTCTTTTTAAATAGATCTCGTGCCTGCATTTTGACTACTAGGCTGGTACTACTTTCAGAAATTGGCGCTTTTGTTATATCTCATTTTCCGCATGTTTTGATCACGCCCGCGGCCCCTTATTTCTCCTTATTGAGTCTGCCAAACTTCCAGCACGATGCCATTTGCCTTTTCATCGAGCGTTTAAACAATGTATTATCTACCACTCCAGTTCCCCGGTTTATTTTCTTGCCTCTTGCTTCTCCCACTCCAGGTTAAAATAGTTGCAGTCGACTTACAAGCCATGGCCCCGATTCCAGGCGTGATTCAACTTCAGGGTGACATTACCAGTCGGGAAACAGCCGACAGGGTTATCAGCCATTTTGACGGAAACAAGGCGCAGTTAGTTGTTTGCGATGGCGCCCCAGACGGCAAGTTTCCCCCTGAAATCACATCTTTTGACGCCACCTTTTTTTGTCTAAGGTAGCCCTGTTAGGCAAGCCTAGTGAATAATAACGTTTCAGAGTGTTTGAGAGGGATTACGGACGTGTTGTTTCAGTTTAGAAGTCCAGTTTAAAATCTTCGCAGGTGGTCGGATCGCCACGTTTGGTAGTGGAGAAGCATTGCTGACGAAGACTGTGGGGGGAGTGGGTGGGTGAGTTGTCGTTTCTGACCCATCTGTCGTGGTTAGTCACTTCAGTCCCTTGTTTTCATCGTGCATCAAGGTTACTCAACCGTGGGACTGATGACTTTACAAAATCCCCAATTAGCCGCTAACGGAGCCACTGGGTGCTTATATGGATGTATGGAGGAAAACCTGGGTCGAGTTCAGTCGGCGAAAGTAGAGCATGTCACGCCGTCATTCCGATAAGAAGCTGTTTATACCAGATCGGTCATTTCCTCCTCACACCCGACTCTATGTCTGATCATTTTGAGCATTCTATTAGTGCTGTTCTACTCCAACCGCGTTAGAGTTTTAGCAATATGGTTATAACTTTCAGTCGTTGTAATTTCAGGCTGGATTACTAAGGGCTGTTTGCGGCATGGAGGGAAAAAAGCAGCTCCGGAGGTTACACTTCCATCGGAGGAAGTCCATGACTTTAGGTTAAGTCAGGCTGATGCCACACATGATCTCTGCCAATAAAATTTCACATGAAGGCGAAATTTCGAGTTCCAGGTGCATGCATAAGTGAAGAAGAAGAGTCGAGCACCGGAACACTTCGTTTATTATCCCGAGCTTTCAGACTCGTGCAGGAGTCCATCGTCAGCAGAACAAGCGACAGTTTTAGGATATGTAGGCCAATCATCGACCGACGGCGCAAGACTGGAGGTGACTACGCAGGACTCTGTACGCCGGCGCCAGATCGATTAACCGATTGAACGAGTTCTCATCCGAGGCCCAGGCTTCAATCAATTCTTGGCCTGTTTTGTTTCCGGCGTGGGCGACTCTGACGATGGACTCCTGCACGAGTCTGAAAGCACAGGGCAATGAATGAAGTGTTCCGGTACTCGACTCTTCTTCACAAAATTCCACATATCTAGCGATCCCAGAAGTCCTATTAGGGCAGAAGTAAACTCCTTAATAAGTGGTCTGTCCCCGCTTATTCCGCCTCTGGGGCCTGCCTACCTGTGAGGGCATGGGGTGTAACGCCCCCCCCCCCACTCACCTTGGGTGATTGTTTAAAAATCTGCCTTCTTATCTTATGAAGATGGGTATGATTCACAACGATTTGCCTGGCTGTAAGTCGCGAAAGAATTGATGCGATGCTCGGATTTTGACTCTACTATCGTCATTCACGTTGAAATTGCTCGTATCTGTCGGACTCAAGGTTAGAATTAGGGTTGGTTTTAGTGTTAGAATTTCGGCTATTCTTCGGACTAGTGTTGCCAAACTTGAGTTGTGGTTTAAGGTTGGGGTTTTGGTGTAAGGTTAGGATTTTAGGTCTATTGTTTGGATTAGGGTTTAAGTTAGGTGTAAGGGCTAGGGTTTCAGAGCATGGGTTAGGGTTTTAAGACTTGGGTTAAGGTTTCGATTACGTTTGAGTTTTTATTGAATGCTTGCAGGTTAAGGGTCGGAACTACGTATTACGGGCACTGTCCCGGTTGGCGTTAGGGTTGTAGGAGGGTCACATACCATACCCTTGGCTCGAAAAATGCTTGCATATGTGGTATCGTGCTATAATAATTTGTCTTATCATCATTTCTACGCTTCGACACATCCCGTTCACGTCATGAACTTTCGCAGAAATGACGACAGTAATATCAGCAACAGCTGAATACAGCATGACTTTATTCGGGGTCCCAAGTGGTGCTGAGAGCAGGGATTTTGGCTAACCGTCAAGTTGACATTAAGGGGCCTGAGCCACGTTAAGTGCTTAAGCCGGGGCTTTCCGTCAGCCGCCTGTACATGCAAGTTGTCGGCTTGTCTGCACCGCCTCTTAATTTGGCTCCCTTCGACATTTCCACTTCTGTCTTGTGTTTGAGCGCAGACTTCCGTATGATAGACGTGCTACGTCATGGAGCGTTAACCGAAATTCTGAAATGTGTATGCGTTTTGAGGAGACTACTTAAGTAGGGTTGCAATACTAACCATCCTTCAGTATAATCCTTGAATATTTCAGCTACGTCAGGCTGACCGCTTTTGCATGGGTTTCTTTTCGACCGCCTGCAGCAATGGCCACTTAAGTAGCATGAGGTTTCCTCATTTATTTCCGACGTCCATATGAATGCAAGTACATTTTGCAGAAAACATGCCAAAAACAGTTTTTTCTTGTGCAAATTTGGTAGCACATTGCGTCTTCTTTGAATGGCATACCTTAGAAAAGTGTTTTTTTCAGTTTCAAAAAGGTTTCAAATTATAAGATTTTTTAGATCGTGAAGTGTTCGTGCATAAAGAACCTTATCTGTGGGTTTATTAATCATATTAATGAAGTGTACAATGCAGTCCACATCCACTGCAGGATTCCATGAGCCCTAGATGACGACTTCTTAATTGCCTACAGAAAAGTATGCTTTTCTTCGCACGGAAAGTATGCTGCATGCAGTTTCGAAATTCTGAATTCAAGTATAACGGCAGTTTGGGTTCAAAACTATTCGCGAACTTAAAACGTTCTTTTAGACAGCAGTGCATCCTATCTTCAAGTATAACATTTGAAGAAGACGTAATTTGCTACCAATTCAGTACAAGGAAAAATATTGTTGTCCATGTTTTCTATGGAATATATTTGAATTTCAATGGGAAGACTTCATGCATCTTAGTTTGTCATTTTTACAGGGTGTTATTATTTTAGCTAGCCAGAAAAAACTCGTTCTAAGCGACTTAAATATCCGGGAATTACGCTGAATGACAATTAATATTACAATTCTACATAAGTAGCCTTTTTGAACCAAAAACACATTTCAGAATTTCGGTTAACATTTTATGAGATAGGACATCTGTCCAGTAGCAGTCTTCCTTGTCTTTGTCCGTACTGGTCGCATTGCGACCGCCAGCAACGGGATGAGCATGTCCTTTAACTTACCCTGTGTGTCCACTTTTCAGTGACCGGCCTGCACGACTTGGATGAGTACGTGCAATCGCATCTGGTCCTAGCGGCCCTCACAATTTGCGCTCGAATTCTCGAGGTGGGTGGCACTTTTGTGGCCAAGGTCTTCCGTGGTCGCGAGGCCGGTCTACTGGGCGCCCAATTGCGCTGCCTCTTCTCCGGTCCCGTGCTCTTCGCCAAGCCCAGCTCCAGTCGAAATTCCAGTCTGGAGTCCTTTGTTGTGTGTCAGGGTTTCCGAGGCGACACATTGCTGCCGCCCTCCCTCACAAGCCTTTCTACCTCTCGACTGGCCAGCGGGGATGCCGAGACTTCAGAGGAGCCTGCTGAATCTCTAATGGCTTGGCTGGATGGACTGGAGGAGGTACGTTCTTCCTCCTTGTTTGGACCGCGAAAATTGAGTAAATTTAGTGTGCATCTGCTATGTCAGCCGCACGACAGAGCGTTCTTGACATTTTTTAACTTTTGGGTCAGTATGCAACGAGTGACCGATCTCATGAAATGTTGGCTGAAATCCTGAAATTCGTTTTCGATTAGGAAGGATTGCTTAGGCGCGGTTGCAATACTGACTATCTTGCGGCATAATCCTGTAATATTTCGAACTCGGCAGGATGTCAGCTTTTGAATACAGTGCTTTTAAATCTCCTGTAGAAACCGTACTCTGTAAAAATGACTTCTCAAGTGGCATGCATTTTTCACATAGATTTTCGATGGTCGTGCAAGTTTAAATATCTTTTAGAAACCCCGAACAAAAATATGCGTTCTTCCAGTCGTTTGATAGAGAATAAGGTCGTCTTTATATTGTATACTCGAAGGAGTATAACTAGGCTCTAAAAAAGCTTTCTAATTCCCTAATAATTTGCAACCTGTTCAGTCGTCGCATTAGCGCTTAGTGATTTAATTTTACAAGGCGCATGCTTTCCACGTAAAAAAACCCACATATTTTTCTATGCCATTAAAAAAATATCATACAGAGTCCATAAAACTTTGTAATGGATGCGAACTATGTTGTACATCTCATGAGGAGCTGTGGTAAGCGGCGAGGTACGATGCTATGTAAATGGACATTGCGAGGTCTTAAAAAATCTCGTAATTAGAAAACTTTTTTAAAACCTAATTATACTCCTTCTTTGAGCATAAAATATAAAAAAGGCGTGATTCGTCATTAATTGACTGAAAGAAAGCATATTTTTGTTAATGGTTTCTATAAGATATATTTGAATTTGCAAGACCATCGAAAATCAATGGGAAAAATGCATGTTACTTAAGTAGGTATTTTTTGCCGAATACGGTTTCTAGAGGAGATTTAAAAGCACTGTATTCAAAAGCTGACATCCTGCTGAGTCCGAAATATTATAGGATTATGCCGCAAGATAGTCAGTATTACAACCGCACCTAAGTAATACTTCCTAATCGAAAACGCATTTCAGGATTTCAGCCAACATTTCATGAGATCGGTCACTTGCCGTAGTTGTTCTCTTCAGGATGCTCACTGTAAAATGAGAGGCAGTAATGTTGGAAGCATAGCTTTAGTGGAAAAGAATTACCAACATATTCTCTACTGCATTCAAAAATACGCACAGAAACCGATTCCGTCATGTTAATCCACAGGCCACAATTCCTTGGCTTCCCAGCTGAGACTTATTTCGTAGGAAATTTCTATCCTTCTGGGTTGCCTTGAGTACCGATTACAAAGATCATTTATCATGGACAAAATTAAAAGGGGCACTTCTTTGGTCGTTGTCTAAGGAACCATTTTCTCAAAGTTTGCATTTCAGTAAGTGAAAATATTTCGGCTCTTCCAAAAGATTGAAATTTAAGCACTGGTTGGGGCAATTGTTTGAATACGGCTGTGGTCATATAATCTCGCTTCGGAGGCAAATTTGCAGTTGCGATGAACCAACTATCTCTTTTGCCCGCCCTATAGGTCAGGTCAGGTTCTTTGCGCTAATCGCGGTCTTCTACCAAAGTTTACGCCCCAAGTTAAGACCGGTCCCGGGTGTAAAAAGACAGGCGGCAGCCAAGCCGTGGGGGAGAGAGGGGGCAGAAACGTTAAAAATGAGTAGGATGGGAAAAGCCTGTGCGTTTGAGGGTCTCCACAAGTCGAGCGGGGCTTCCAACTGCGGTGAGTAACCGTATCGTATCACATCTGCTATTGATAACGCCTACCGAACGGCAGTCTCCCTCTGCTATGCCCCCTAGCATGATTTCTAATCCATGCACGAGTCCCAGACAAATTCGTGCGGTTTATAAATGCGCAGTTTAGGTAGCAGCCTCCCAAAGCTCGATTCCCTTCTTGGCTTTGGTGCCTACACTTCACAAATTATAGGTATGCCTCCAAGGGAAATTGCAGTATATGTTAAGGAGGTAGTGGGCAATGCCCTTAAAACCGTACTCTGTACTCGGTGCGGGGTGCTTTAACAGGCGAATGCAGAACGACAAAATATTGCGCTACACGGGTTACTAAAATCGTTAAAGTAGGATCGTTATTGCACAAATATTGAGGAGACCGAATGGGCTGACGATTATCGTGACGATTCTCGTGCTGTGTTTTCTTTTAGATGTCGTCTGAACAGCGGCTCATTCTTCCTTTTGTTGCTTGCGGTGATCTCTCCGGTTACGATGCTGACGCTTGTTACGAACTGGACGAGGACTATGTCTCCCTTGACCCTGTCCAACCCCCCATTGATCCGGCCTATCTAGAGGTTTGCCGCAAAGCGCGCTCAAAGGCAGCCCATGATGAAGCGGCTACAATCACCGAATTGATGGAGGCCACTAAACTCACCTGACTCTCCTCGCCGCCGCCCATCCTCTGTCCCTTGTCTATTTTTCACAAATACACCGTTTTCCTGCATCCTTTTTTCTTTGTTTTTGTTAAAAATTTGTAGCTTCCTCTGTTCACCTCCTCCTTCATATTATTTTGGGCTATGCGATGTTTTTGTATGCTGGATTTCTTCTAGTTCGAATTTAGGACTAACATTTCCCCTCCGGGTAGGAAACATTTCTTTACCGACTTTTACAGCTCTTTTGTGCCATTCCGCCAACATGCCTCGTAACATCAGAATCTTCGCTGTTGTCATGAACTCTCTTTTCCTCTAGAGCCCTTTTATGTATATATGTATATATTTGCAGAGTTAGAGGCAGAGCCCTTGATGACCCTATTTATGTACAGTGCTTTCGCAGATTCGTACTCAAAAATAATACTGCAGGCATTTACAATGTGATCGGGTCACAGTTCACTCGTAGTCATAGGGTAGTGCATAGGGGCACTGTAAATTAGTGCGGAAGGATTGTATATGACAGTTTTTTTACAAAACTGGCTGTGTATAGTCATGCTGTAAAAGCCGATTTCTGTTGAAAACTAGACGAGCAAGTTTTCTTTTAAACAAACAAATTGTGTCAGCCGTCACCGTCTCTCTTGGAAGCGAGTTCCACGGTCGGACAACCCGCTGGCTGAATGAAAATTTTCGACGGTCTAACCGCGTGCGCTCATTCCCGACTTTGTAGGCATGGCCGCGTAGTTGGTTTGTACGGGTAAACTCAAAGAATTCCTCTGCTCTTAATGAGCAACCCTGGCCGCGGACAGTCCGGAACGTCCAAAGCGGACTGCAGTTTATTTGTCTATAAGAGAGAGAAGGAATAAGCCAAACAAATTCAGCCTCTCCTGATAAGACAAATACTTAAGACCGTCGACCATCTTTGTCGCTCTGCGTTGCACCTGTTCGAGTAAGTCGATATCCTTCCTCATCCATGGTGAAGCTGCTGGCATTCCATACTCTAGATGAGGTCTTACAAAGACACCAAAGAGTCTTTCGAAGAGTTCGGGAGGAAATATTTTAACTGCAGATAGTTGTCTTCGCGGTCATTTTCGTACGCACAGCGTCCCGGTAATGCTAGTAGACAGTGTGTATCGCACACTAGTGTTCGGCTGGCTGTTGTTCACATAAGAAACTTCGTCCGCAATAGGAGGTGAAGGCATTCTCAGCGTCAACCACATTCACCTCTTAGGGTTTTAAGATATTGAGCCTATGCGTTGCCCGGACAGAAGTACACGCAACCAATTTGTTTAATAGCTATTCTAGTGTTTAAACCATGTGCTCCTTCTGCCAACTCGACGTGTTCTACGAAAGAAACCGAATGACCACGCAATGGCACGAACGAGGGGCCTGGAAACTCGCTATCCTACTAAGTTGGGTTACAAAAATCGGATTACTTTGTTGATTCAATCGTGAGGGTGGTGGCGGCGGTGGTGGTGGTGGTGAAGGGAACCAGGTCAGCCGTACTTTCTACACCATTGTCCGTATCTATCGCCTGCGATCGTCATTTCTCAAGCCCGAACTGCCCTAGGTATGCATGATCATTTGGCTTAGGCAGTATCCACGAGCCAAAAAGATCGGCATTGACATAAATTACAGCTAGTGCAAGTTTCTCATTCCACACTTTCCCTTGGTTATTCTCCGATGCTCAACAGTCCGCCGTTTAAAAGGTGTGACAGATTCCATGATCTTCCTGGGACTTGCGCTCTCCGGAAGGTCATGCTTAATGCCTCTGTGGTTATATCTTTTTCCGACTGATTAGCGCCTCCCAGATGTTATTTCCTTATCTGGGGAAGTGAGGTGTTGTTTCCTATCTCTTATGAGATATTGCCGAATCCGCAACAATCCTGCGTCCATCTTTCGTCAATTGAAGACCCCTGCCCTTATACGCTTTTTTGACGTGCTTCGCTGCACTGAAGGTGCTGACTGTTCGTGTTTTTGCCCCCCTCTATTTTCGACACTTAGATGGGTTGGTTGACAAAATCGGACCTGGCAGACGGCCTTGACGAGACCTTAAAGGCTGAATTAGCCGCACTCCAACCCAGCGATGCCGAACGCGCCCGCCTCCACGGCATCGCTCTCGTCATCTTCCTGCTGAGCCTTCTTGTCGGCGTTCCAGTCTGGTGGATGACCACCACACCTGAACAGTACTCCCTACCGGAGGATATGGTTGCTCAACTCACTCAGCAAAGAATCACCATCAGTCTTGATGTACGTACCCTATCCCGCTCTCGTGCTGCCTCAGAACCCCCTGTCCGTCTGTCTCAGCCCCTGAAGTCTTTTTCTCAACTGCCTTTAGGTAGTCACTCTTAATCTTGACCCCTGGTTATCCGACACCGACCTCACCGTCCTTGAACGCACGCTCTCTGAGTCCGCCAATGCAGTGCAGCGCAAAATGGAGTCGCAAAGGACACAAACTACACCGGGATCAAATCCTGCAGACCCGGGGATCATTGTGAATTATCGGTTTTTCGTTCGACGCCACCAAACGGATGCAAGCTTATTGACAGGTGACCCAACATCGTCCTCGTCACTTGTCTCTGCGCGGCTGGAAAAGCACATTTTGAAGTCAGGCCTACTTGATCGCCTGGAAGTGAATGATGGAAAGCAGACTGTCAGGTCTGTTGTGCCTCTAAACTTTCAGTATTCGCGTAATATCTTCCGACAATTTTCATTACTTCTCGTCACCGATATCTCATGAATATGTATGTTCGACAGCTTGGAGTCGAACCGAAGTTCATCAGTGCCTCGCCTCCTGTCATTCCCTATCGCTGCAGATGGGGTATTTATTCACTCTGTC